ATTAGCTGGGCATGGTGGTACACACCTGTAATCCCAGCTACTTCGTAGGATGAGGCATAAGAATCACTGGAACCTGGGAGGCAGAGGTTGCAGTCAGCTGAGATCTCACCACTGCACTCCACCCTAGGTGACAGAGCGAGAGACTCTGTCGAAAAAAAATATAAAAATAAAAATAGAAACAAACAAAAAAAAACTGAAAGAGTTTTCTTTGTGTAAGCATTATTAAATCCAGGAATTTAAAAAGAACTACACGTATTCATATTGACTGCACTGTAATAAGCTGTCTAAACATAATTCACGGTGTTAAAATTATTTCTCCTCTCTAGAAACCAAGAGTTTCCTTGTTAAAGTGTAAAATGAGATTTTGCCTACTTGTAACTCCTTGTTCTCACAGCTGAACTGTCACAACATGAAAACATTTTCCCACTGGTGAAGCTTTAGATACCTATTTTTCTGATGAAAGAGTACAAAAGGAATGGAGCTACTGACAATTCATACAGTATTCCACACCCTATTAGAGTACGACCACAAGCAAAGAAAATATGTTAACTTTGAAGGGAGGTGGGCAACAATGTTGTAAATGATTGTTGACTTCACTGAGTAGCCTGAAAATGCCCAAGACTGAAGTCTATTAGGTTCATAAGAGACTCAAGATTATAAAAGAATTGATTATAAGAGGTCTATTTCTTTGTCCTATTGGGTGAGTCAAAGGTTAATGAGAAGTATACTGAACAAAACATCTCTTGTGTTTTTGCAAAGTATTTCTCATGCAGGACAAAAATGTAAGTGAAAAAGTATTTTAATCTATTTTATTAATTATTTTATTTATTAATTAACTTTTTTTAAAAAAATAGCTTCACTGAGGCATAATTTATATGCCATAAAATTCACTCATTTTAAATATTCAATGATTGTTTAAAACTTTAGAGATGTGTGACCTTTACTATAATCTAATTTTTAGAATATTTTCATCACCCCAAATCCATTAATTTCTTGATCTATGGTATTTTCATAAATTCATAGAAGCCAATGATATCTAAGGCTACCTATATTCAAAGTTACACAAATTTCTTCAACTGAGCAATAAAAGTACAAAATGACCTCACTTTTAATGACCTTTATAATCAATCCTCTACTCTGGCACTAGGAAGCAAATGTTCAGGTGCTTTCTCTGAAAGTTAAACCATTCTAAGTATTAAGTTATGGCACACTGTCTTGGAAAGAAATTAATTATATTTTTGTTGGTAACACATTTCAGGCTGTTTACACAGCTGACATTTCTCAGCTGTACCCAATTCATGCCCTAAGCTGAGGACTATTTTGTTTTGTAGCAGATGCCTCCACTTGAATGATTTCAATAAGTATAAAAACACCACTGCCTGCAACAAATATAGACTACAAGTACCAGCATTATGAGTTTTTATACTCCTAATGAAACAGGTTTTATGACATATTATTTGGCCATGATATCCTCAGAATACTGGTTATAAGCCATTTTTGGCTAAATTCAAGCACTGGAGCTAGTGAATCTGCTGTGGCATCAGTTAAAAGCAGCTTGGCCCTAAACATCTTTGTTGTATCAAATCATGCAAGCTCAAGGCAACATCCTGCCAATGCGGCAACATTTGCTCTGGGGAGGTGTGGGCAGGCACCACTTCACAGGTTCTGGGACAAGGTGCAAATGGGAATAATGAGGCTAAAAGAATCAAGCCTCTTAATAGGGATTCCCTCTTGTGTTTGCTGTGACTTAAGAGCACCAAGTAGTATTACAGTCTTGGAAACAAACAGTTTTAGCTGCTTTCCATATTTTCCTATAGTAATTAGACTGCATGACAACTCTTTGGCAAAAAATTAAATGTTATAAAAACCATTAAAACATGGATCTCATAAAAGACCATGCCAACTCAATTCAATGAATTAGCACCTAAAATGTATAAGGCACTATTTTACAGGCAGAAGAATTGATCATATTTCATCGACTTTGCCTACCACTCTTGGAACTTGTACCTGATAAGCCAATTTCTGGTTTCTAAAAGGGTGGGGTGCAAAAGCAGTTGGCTTTTTCAACCCTGTGAAGCCTCACATTTCCAGAGTTTCTCTATTATCTTATGTCCCTGCTCTTAAACAAGACAATTATTTTTGCTTTAAACTTTATATTATGAAAATTTTCAAACATATACAAAGGTTGAGAGAACAGTATAATAAACCCAATATACATATCATCCAGATTCAACAATGAGTGATAGATGCCTAATCTAAATTAGCTCTATCCTCACTCACTGTGCCACGCATGGGTTATTCTGAAGCAAGTCTCAGACACCACTTCATTTCTTTAAATCAGTCAATTCTTGCCTGTAATTGTAATCTGCAATTATGATCACTTTTTTTGGAGTTATCTTAATTATAATGTTGACTCATTTATCGAGTGTCTACTATGAGCCAGGTACTGTATTTATATTATCACTTATCTTCATAATAGTTCCGCAAATTAGTGAGAAAATTAAAGCTCAGAGAATTTAATGATATGCTCAGGTCTTAATTATTTTCTTCTATTTCTTCTATATATATAATTATTTCTTCTATATATATATAATTATTCCTTCTATAATATTACTATTCCTTGGAATAAGTTATTAGACAATACTAAGAACATTTCTGTTTTTTTCATGCCTCCTCAGGTAAACAGTAGACCATCATGTATGAACATTACTCTTTTATTTTTGTAAAAATAAATGTAGCATATTCTCTATCAAATTTCTCACTCAAGCAAGAAAAACAACAACAAAGAAAAACCAGAAGAAAACCACAAACACATCCCTATCCTTAACCGTAGATGACCAGCCAATAATTCTAATTATATACTATAATATCAATGCTGAAATCAGTTTTTTAGAAACAAATTTAGTACCTAAACCTAAAGATTTTTTTTTCTGGAAATGTTTATTAAAAATAAAGGGGCTTTTGTTTTTGTTTTTCAGATGGAGTTTTGCTCTTGTTGCCCAGTGGAGTGCAATGGCACAATCTCGGCTCACTGCAACCTCCCTTTCCAGGTTCAAGTGATTCTCCTGCTTTAGCCCCGCAGCTAGCTGGGATTACAGGCATAAGCCACCATGCCCAGCTAATTTTGTATTTTTATTAGAGACAGGGTTTCACCATGTTGGCCAGGCTGGTTTCAAACTCCTGACCTTGGCCAGGCACAGTGGCTCATGCCTGTAATCTCAGCACTTTGGGAGGCCAAGGCGGGCAGGTCACCTGAGGTCAGGAGTTCAAAACCAGCCTGGCCTACATGGTGAAACTTCATCTCTATTAAAACTACAAAAATTACCCGGGCATGGTGGAGGGCACCTCCCAGATACTTGGGAGGCTGAGGCAGGAGAACTGCTTGAACACAGAAGGTAGAGGTTGCAGTGAGCCAAGACTGTGTCATTGTACTCCAGCCTGGGCAACAGAGCAAGATTCCATCTCAAAAACAAACAAACAAACAAACAAACAAACAAACAAACAAACTCCCGACCTCAGGTGATCCACCGGCCTCGGCCTCCCAAAGTGCTGGGATTACAGGTGTGAGCCACCGTGTCTGACCAAAAATAAAGGTTTTGCTATTTTCTGATTATTAAAGTTTCTGATTTTTAAAATTTCATAATCCACAAAGCATTTTCTAAAGGCATAGTGTTTACATTGTAATTAGATTCAAGTAGCACCTACATAAATTGTCTTAAATTTTTTCTGTCTTCCACAAAGAATTATTTTATATTAAAATATATAGTGGTGGTGCTGGAAGAGGAGTGAACTGTAGTTATTATCCAGGCAGAAATATAATATTTACTAGAAAATATTGAAAGGTAATTCAATTCTTAGGCATAATCATTATTTCAGTATTGATCATTACAAGATGTTTATAAAGTCCCAATTTCTTTTTAGCCCTATTTATTTTAAAAATTAGAATTAACTTGAGATTTCCAGAAACATTCTCATTTTCACTTTTACTTTTTAAAAAAAATTAGATATCTGGTTAGACAAGCAAGTTTGTGGGGAAAAGTGGCCAAAACTGAATTTCAGATGGCCTCCTTATATAGTGAAATTTACTCTCACAGAAAAGAGCAATAAGTGGAAATGAAAAGAGATAGGAAAGGCTTCAAAAATTTACAATAGGAAAATCATTATAAAAAATATAATAAGGGTAAAAATGACAGGCTATTTTCTTCCAGCTTCTTACAGTAGCGAAATTTATGGGTATGTTTGAGATTAAAGTGCTATTAATATTAACTATAAAAATTAACTTTTAAGTGTCAGTCTACTATGAAAAAGGTAGTTTTAAAATTAAATACAATGATTGGCTTGATTTTGAAATATCTGTAATTTAGGAAAGAAAATGTTTTTGCCTTGAACATTTCATTAGTAGTATCTGAATATATTCTTCTCATCAAGAAAAAAATTAAGTCAAATCCAGCAGCATCAAATTCTTGCATTGATAACTGTAACATTACCAATAGAACGTTGACCTGCTTGGCTTGTGATATCTGTTCCAAAAGTGAACTCAAATTATTACAACTTCTCTTACTTTCACATTGTTTGGTTTAGATAATTATTTCCCTTTTTTTTTGAGATGGAGTTTCACTTTTGTCACCCAAGCTGGAGTGCAATGGTGCAATCTCAGCCCACTGCAACCTTCACCTCCCAGGTTCAAGTGATTCTCTTACCTCGACCTCCTGAGTAGTGGGATTAGAGGTGCCTGCCACCATGCCCAGCTAATTTTTGTGTTTTTAGTAGAGATAGGGTTTCACCATGGTGGCCAGGTTGGTCTCAAACTCCTGACCTCAGGTGATCCACCCACCTCAGCCTCCCAAAGTGCTGGGAGGCGTGAGCCACCGTGCCTGGCTAGATAATTCTTTCAATGGAAGACTCAATGCATTTGATTGTGCTTATTATCAAAGCCAAATAGACTGAAAGTGGCAAAAGAGAAAGGAGGATATAAAGCTGAAAATATGACTGTCACTCACTGAGTCGTCTGTAGCAGAAGTTGGCCAGCCCTCCCACAATTGGTGGCGAACGGGTATACTTGTAAGGTCATACACATTTCTCTTTACCTATGAAAAGAAAGAGACAGGACAATTAAAATAGAATTTTCACATGACTTATAGTTTCCAATCAATTTATGAGACACACAATGTATTTCCTGTTTTCTTCTAGATTCAAAACAAGAATTTGAAACTATAAAAACTCAAGTCAAAAAATTTTGTAAAAAAGAACAAAACCAAACTTAAAAGCAGATTCTCAATGAAGACTAGATGAAGTAAGAGTTAAGAAACATCCCTCCTCTCTTGTTTTCAGCCCCTGGCTGGCTTCATTTCTTTTCAGTCAGGAAACTTCAGGTACCCAGTTCCCTAAGGGCAAAGTACAATTATGAATTTTTATAATTTATTTAATCGTTAAAATGTACAATGATTCAAAACCAAAAACATATTTCGTTTTTATGTGGAATAGTGAAGGGTAGTTTTATTACAGGGAAGTGAGGCAGGGGCGGAAAAACCTAAAATTGTCTTTACATTTTTTAAGTAAGTTTCAAAGATATAGAAACTTCTTATTAAAGGAGCACAGGGCCAGGCACAGCGGCTCACACCTGTAATCTTAGGACTTTGGGAGGCCAAGGCAGGTGGATCACCTGAGGTCAAGAGTTCGAGACCAGTCTGGCCAACATGGTGAAACCCCATCTTTAACTAAAAATACAAAAAATTAGCCAGGCGTGGTGGTGGCTCCTATAATCCCAGCTACTTGGGAGACTGAGGCAGGAGAATCATTTGCATCCAAGAAGCAGAGGTGGCAGTGAGCTGAGATCACGCCACTCCAGCCTGAGCAACAGAGTGAGACTCTATCTCCCCACCACTGACAAAAAAAAAAAAAAAGTAGTACAGGTTATTTTTTTGAAATCAATCCAAACTAAAAACTATTTCATGTAATATTTACTAACATCAGAGCTATAGGCCCTTCCTGAAAATCAAATACAAAAAATGCATTAAAGCTGAGAAACTATTTTTCCCAACATGCAACATTATACCTTCTACTTTGAAAGGGAAGGAGGTAAACTTATCAGAATAAAGTGTTGGAAGATTAAACTCTACATCAGCCAGTAATTAAGAAGTGTTGGCTGGGCGTGGTGGCTCACACCTGTAATCCTAGCACTTTGGGAGGCTGAGGTGGGCGGATCACTTGAGGTCAGGAGTTCAAGACCAACCTGGCCAACACAGCGAAACCTTGTCTCTACAAAAAATACAAAAATTAGCCAGGTGTGGTGGCACGTGCTTGTAATCCCAGCTACTCAAAAAGCTGAGGCAGGAGAATGGCTTGAACCCAGGAGGCAGAGGTTGCAGTGAGCTGAGATTGTGCCACCGCACTCCAGCCTGGGCAACAGTGTGAGACTCTGTCTCAAAAGAAAATAATAAAAATAAAAATAAAAGAAGTGTTACTGGGTGTGGTGGTTCACACCTGTAATCCCAGCACTTTAGGAGGTCAAGGTAGGAGGATCACATGAGCTCAGGAGTTCAAGATGAGCCTGGGCAACATAGTGAGATCCCATTTCTACCAAAAAATAACATTAGCTAGGCATGGTGGCTCATGCCTGTAGTCCCCACTACACAGGAAGCTGAGGTGGGGCGACTGTTTGAGTCCAAGAGGTTGAGGATACAGTGAGCCATGATCACGCCACTGGACTCCCACCTGGCAGACAGAGCAAGACCTTTTTTCAAAAAAAAAAAGAAAGAAAAAAGCAATATGTCTCTCTTCAGGTTTTCTTTTCTATTTTAGTTTTTATTCACAAATAAATTAATGAATCATAACAATGGAGAGATTATCCATTTTAACTAATTCTTCAAGTTAATTATGGCACTATTATCCTACTGTATCAAATGAAGTTAGGATTGAAATGCTCCCTATCATATGTTCTATGTTAAGACTTGAGGCCAGGCATGGTGTCTCACGCCTGTAATCCCAACCCTTTGGGAGGCCAAGCTGCAAAGATCCCTTGAGCCCAGCAGATCGAGGCAGCAGTGAGCCATGACTGTGCCACTGAACTCTGGATGACACAGTGAGACCCTGTCTCAAAAAACAAAACAAAACCCAAAGACTTCAATAGATTCTCATACTTCAACAAGCATCATGCATTTATGTTTTAAAAATGCAGAAGCTTAAAGTATCATGTTGTCCAATTACAGCATTTTGTTTTCACATTACCCTTTCTTATACATAATCACATCTAAGTTACCATTCCAGTGAAATAGAGATACAAGTTCACTACGGAAAGGAGAAACAAAAAATAAAACAAAAACACAGAACTCATTCTATTTTTACCTCTAATTCACACCTGTGGAAAAATGACTTAGTAAACGAGATCTGAGGAGCTTGGGAATGGCTTGATCTGTACTCAATTCAAACAAACAGGTTTTCTTTAGAGTTTCTTAGCAAATGGCTAGTCTACCATGCAATATTTTGTTTATAGTTGGTCACATTGTTTGGAAATTTTTATTAGTCATTATCAACCCAACAATTTAACCAAATGTAATTGGGTTAACATCTAACCACTTTCACTAGCTGTTATTATTTTGTTATTTTTAAACATTAGTGTTCTTAACAAGAAAAGTGTTCCACAAACCTAGAGTGTTACATTAATAAAAGATGAAGGCTAGAAGAGGGAGTATGAGGAGTCTTTAGGCTTCAAGGCAAAAGAATTTCTTAAAACTATTTCGTAAAATAATTAAGAAATTATTACTTTAAAATAATTTCTTGAAATTATTTTTGATTATGTTATCTAGATATAACAAACTTTATCAGTTATTTTTGAAAAAAAGCAGGACAAATATTTACATCCTTTTGGAAAGGCGGCAAAGCTACTTTAGCATTGTAAAGCATACACAAATACTATGAGTATACAAACAAATAACTTTGGAGTGGGATTCTTTAAATTCCATCTTAATTCCAAAATACAACAATAAGGTATTATGAAATAAACAGTATTTTCTTCTTTCATTAATTCATCTGTAACTGCACTAAATTGAATAACATTCCTTTGCTATTCTAAGCCTGAAAAGCACGTCCTGGCTATAGTGTTATGTTGGTATAAAGCACAACGCCAGACTGATGTGCTGAACAAAAGTGATCAAAGTTAGAGTAATGTTAGCCATTGCACAAGTATTTGGCTTCATTGTTCTCCCCAGAATGACATCTGTTAAGCAACTTGTCATAGAATAAACTGGCTAATGCAGACAGAACTTGGCTGAGAGAGTCCCATGTAAAGCATATTAGGCTAATGTTTGATTGTTCCAATGCAAAGGCTAAATTCACAGAGTATTCTGAGTTTAAACTAAAAGAATCTTATGTTAAACCACAATCACTAAACAACAATTTAACTGAAAACAAATTTGTTGTTCAAAAATAATTCCATGCATACCAGTGTTGTACATATGTAGATGTTATCAGTATATGGATGAAGCACAAGTGATAAGATAGCAAAAGCATCAAAACAGTGGGGATTTTACTAATAGATTACAATTCCATTTTCTTTATTGATGATTATGTTTAATAAAAAATTGAAATCATAATCCTGCAGAGAAGAAAGAAATCCAAAATGTACACAAAACAAACATAAAAACAATTCTGAAAAAAGTTAGTATTCTAGGAAACCTAAATGATAAAATACAGCTTTGTATAAAATGATACAGACGAATTTAAAGTCATCATGGATCAGATGAAGGACACAGTTCTTTCAGAGGAGGGAAGATGAAGAAATAAGAGGAAAAAAGAGGGAGGGGGAATGGAGAGGGAGAAAAGGAGGAAGAAGGGGAAAGGGAAAAGGAGGAAAGAGAGAAGATGGAGGATAAAGAGACAGAGAAAAAGAGATGATAGGGAAAGAAAGAGGAGAGAGAAGTGAGAAAGAGAGGAGGAAGGACACTAATTGATTGACTTGGGATTTGAGAGCACTTTAAAGAAGTAGCAAGAACATACACACACAGGCGGGTTGCAGTGGCTGGCATGACCAGCTGCCAATATTGTGCTACTTCTGATGGAGTTTCATCTTTAGAGTGTGTTAAATTCCAGTTAAGGACAAGTGGCACTTCACAGGGTAACATTTCCTAAGGGCTTTTTTATCTTACACATTTTTTGTTTTTGATCAGCATTGGCTCAAGATCATGCTGAACCTTCATAATCTCTTTAATTCTTGTTTTACATTAAGCTCTAAATCTATGAGATTTCAGACTCCTAAACTATGCAAATGTTTCAATTAGTTCAGAAGGAATTTAATAAATTCTTTGATTACAAGCTGAACATTAAAATTACGTTACAAACTATATTGTATTTAGATCTAGAGTTCTGCATTGACAACAGATTTTCTAATTTGCATTCAAGTTTTTCTAAAGGTATGGTTTAATTTCTTCCATATTGTTTCAGATAAGACAGTCGTTTGCAACTGAGGAAATATATAAATCAGATTAACTTTTAATAGTATAGAATTAATTACTGATTTGTTTCCTTATTATTTATTTGTCATTGCTAATAAACACCTGTTTATATAGTATAATTAATATGAAAAACTAAGTAATAATCTCTACTTCAAACTTCATAGTTCCTCAATGTCTGTGGAAATTTCAATGTTAAACACAGCACTGGTGAAAAGATTATTTCATTATAACCTACTCAGTATAAAATTATAAAAGTACCTTCATAAGATATTCATCTCCCACTAACTTCTTTTTTTATTCATTTAAATTTTCAGTTTTATTTTTTAGTTAAATTTCATCAGAATTTCTTAGGAAAGTAATTCTTAGGAAAAGTTGCTCTGCTAAAGGTTAAACCGTGAAGCTCAGATTAGTCTCAAATAAGTTGTTCTTAACTATTTAAATTGAAAAATATAAAATTTAGTAGATAACATTCTCAGTTATAAAACACCATTCCTTGTGAGCTAAATATCAATCAAACTATTGAAAAACTTTTAGGGAATTTTAAATGTCATTCAGATATTATTCTTGTGAAAGCAAATTAATAAAAAAGTCACAAAGTTTGAGGTGTGGCAGCATACCTTGAGGCAGAGAACTAGATT